AAAACAGATCCCCTCAACACCTTAGCTGTGCATAGAAATTCTGTCCATGAAAGTAATGAACAGAATTGGTGACAAAGCCTTGGCGGAGTCCAACTCTTCCTCAGGTGGCAGCAGTTGGGTGGAGTCAGTGGACGAGGATGAGCTGTTTGTGGAGAGCAGCATTAGCGGCAGTGAAGTGGCAGAGAAACCTCTATCTTTGGTCAACGTAAATTCTCCTTACCTCATCAGCTGGATGAGAGTCATCAGCTAGAGTCAGACAGGTTACTGAGTCTCTCACACAACATAAAACCAGGGGTGAAAGTATGGTTGGGTACTGCGTACCCCTAAAAGATTTAGCGGGGGTATGCAGTACCTGCAAGAGAGGGGAGCGGCTGTCTGCTGTAAAGAATCATTGGGTTCACTGTGCAGCTGTGAGTTCACCCACTAAACAGCCGTGACTGATTAGTTTTTCAAGAGCAATCTAAAACACGACTTAATGAGTTAATAAGTCGCCTTTTTCCCCATTTTATATTGTTTCTGAACTGTTCGTGCTTTGCTAGAGCAGGGGTGCAACATGTCGATCTCGGCATTAGGTGACAAACTGAACACTGCCAGGACGCTGAGACCAGCACTTCCGCCTCTGGCTCGCTTATCAAAAAGTTTGTAACTTTATTAAAGAACAAAAAAAAAAATCAAGACTCTGCCAGATGTTCTCAGCAGACCCTCACGATACGTTTGGGCCTGCCAGATCTGACCAGCATCCTCCCCCACCACCGAAGCCAACTCACCACCAGATAGTACTCGGTGGACAATTACGCACCTCTCTTCTCCCGAGTGTCCAAAACATGTGACCGCAGATCCGGTGAAATGACAACAAAGTTGATCATTGAACTGCGGCCTGAAGTGTCCTGGTGCCAAGTTCACATATGGACACCCCTATGCTTCAACATGGTGTTCGTTATGGACAATCCATGACGAGCACATAAGTCCAGCAACATATATATATTTTTTATATTAGGCAATTCACATAATTATCGCAGTAGAAGCCACTTGCTTGTTAAATACTTCATAAAATATATTTCTCCTATTTGATGTTTATTGTCAATGACATATACTTGCAAACAAACAAGGTAATTAGTCCAATTTTGTCATTTATTGAATGTTCAGAAATTACAGTGTTTGCAGTGCACCACAGCAAAGGTCAACAACCCTGAACAAGTGATCACCTCAAAACCACTCCTATCTATTTACGCTCTCACTCTTTGTCACTTAACCACACCCGTTGCCATGGCGATTGACATATTGAGCACCCTTCTGTAGATCCATGAGAAGGGTACCTATGCCCTATCACATTTCTCAAGTTACCTTTTTGGACACTTAAAACGTTTGAAAAAGAAAAAACATCTCAATCAATACAGAATGACTCCAACATGTTGCCTCCCTGAATGATGCAATTCTAGAATGTTATAATTATTATATTTAATTATGTTGAGTTTGATTATTTCTGTACAAAATACAAAATTGTATTTATTCTTCCTCAGGTGGCAGCAGTTGTCTGGAATCAGTGGGCGAGGATAATGAGCTGTTTGTGGAGAACGTCATCAGCGGCGGTGAAGTGGCAGAGAAACCTTTATCTGGTCGACGCAAACACTCCTTACCTCATCAGCTGGATAGTGCTAGAGTCAGACAGGTTACTGAGTCTTTCACACAACATAAAACTGAAGATGTTAGGATGAACATACAAGGTTTACTTCTCTTCTAGATAGTACAGGTTGTGCTCTAGTGTTCTGTAAAAGACCAGGATCCTTATGTTACACCTCCTTTTAGAGATATTGGTTTCCTCAGTTCAGCTCAATTTGTTAATATGGTGTCAATGCACAACACACTGGTAGGTTAATAGGTGAAGGGGGCTTATATAAGGAAAGTTACTTTACATTATCACAGCACGTTGTTATGGGCACCAGATCTTGTTGAGCAAAATCACACAGACACTGGAATATCCTGTACTTTACAACATCACAAAAGTTTGCTTTGTAACTTGCAGAAATTGTTGAAGCCACATGTTTAGACTGCAATGGCTTTTCTTGCTTCTACAGTGTATTGCAATACAAATATAGTTTATGTGACACTACAGCAGTCCCGAGCGGTCAGGGAAGCTAGGTGAGGAAAAGCCTTACCCAGTGTTGTGGTCAAGACCACCTAACCCGAGACCAAGACAAGACCAAGACCAGAGTGTATCGAGACCGAGACAAG